AAATTAAGCAGAGTTAAACATCATTAAGCATTATTAAACATTGTTAAAAAACTAGTCATTTATAAATATAATTATATAAAATTGTAATTACCTTCCTTTTTTTCCTTTATGGCATGGTGGGGGCGCACTGTTTTGTAAATTAAATAAAAGAAAGTTAATTAGTAAAGGTTACATACTGACATATAGAATAATATATTTATTTTAGAATGAAGATACGTTGACGTCCAAGGTGACTACTTCTACTTCTACAGGAACCTGCTTCTCTGAAGAAGGCAAGTCGCGACATTACAGTTGCCTGCACGCGCTTGTCCAGGTCCCGTTCCACCATGTGTACATAGAGATAAAATTTTGCCAAACAAGCAACGCGTATCAGCATTCTAATGGAAACAATTGGTAGGGTTCATCCAGCTATCATTTAGTTTGAGTTGTAAATGTTCCCTAAAGTGGATGGAAAGCGCCTATTTAATGAAATGCCTCCATTGTGCATTCATCAACATGTTATTGATGTCAACGGGAAAGAATTCCTATAACGAATTTTAAACAATTTTTTCCCATCAAAAAGTTAGACTTAGAAATTGAAATTTTCCACGTTTTTGGAAATTACAACGCTAACGTCATTAAAATCGTCATAACGAATGATACGAAATTTTATCAGTCGTCGTTTAAGCAACTAGGAAGTTAGCACTTGCTAATAATATTGTGGACATTTTATTAGATGTGGCATTTATATGTAAATTTCACGCATTATTGGGCGATATATTGCGTGATATTTGCGTGATCATCTCTGTATGATTTTTAGTTTTCCAAGAAACATATCAGAAAATTTGAAATTTATAACTTCTCTTCAATACAAAAATAAGGACCGATCAATAATACAAATTAATTTTACTAAGCTCTGTCTTTTGTCTGTGCTAAGATCAATTTGCTAATTTCTCTTGCTTGCAGTGGTTGGCAAGAACTGTCACAAACTTCACATATTCTAACTGCGTTATCAACATCTTCCTTTTCTTTTTTTTCTTGAAGGTAGGCAAAGCAAGAAATTTTAGTTACAAATATTATTCTAAAATATCTCGGAACTTTTGAAATTTTTGAAATAATCATAACGAAAATATGATATAAAATAGAAACTAAAGGCGCTTTATGTACATATATTTTTTGTTTTCTTGGGATTTTTCGATTTTACTTGTGATGTGGACGATGCTTAACTTTTACTTATGGTGTAAAAACTTCGTAATTATTTTGCGTGGATGATGTTTAATAAACTAAAGTCGACAATATGGTGCAGCGTTTGACCTTGAGGAGACGTCTTTCCTACAACACTAAATCGAATAGAAGGCGTATGTAAGTAAACAAATGCATATTTGTACCTATGCAGATTCTGAATGATTAAATAAATGAAATGTTTTTGTTGCAGTGTGCGTACACCAGGTGGGCGCCTAGTATATCAATACGTCAAGAAAAATAAAACTGTGCCTAAATGTGGACAGTGTAAAGAGAAATTAAAGGGTATTCGCCCTACACGCCCCTGTGAACGCAGTCGACTGTCTAAACGTCAAAAAACTGTCGCCCGTACGTACGGTGGTGTTCTTTGCCACGGTTGTTTACGCGAGCGCATCGTTCGTGCTTTTCTTATCGAAGAACAGAAAATAGTCAAGGCTTTGAAAAGCCAACGCGAAATGATGGTTAAACCCGTCAAACCTGTGAAGGCTGTAGAAAAGAAGCAGAGTAAAACAGCTGGTGCTGCCAAAACAGCATCTAAATCGGCCACAAAAAAGCCCGCTCAGAAATCAACCGGTAAAACCAAAAAGTAGAAGGAATTTTGGTTTTGTTCGTTAGAATATTTTCTGAGATAATTTGTGTTTTTTTTTTTATTTAATAATAATAAAAAGAAATAAGTGCGCGAAAGAGTTTAATGATAAAAACAAAACTGCAAAATTCACTTAAGGAAGTGTGTGAAAATTTGTGCAGAGCTTGATAAGCGATGGTATAAAAAGTGGAAAGATTTTTAATTTGAAGAAAAGAAAACGTGGAAAGAGCATATAATTGTTCTTGAAATAAAACAGAAGCTGCACGAAGGGGCAGAATAATTCGTATATATATGATAGGAGTACTGTTTCAGATCCGAAAGGAAGAGGGTATTTAATGTTAAAATTTTTTGAACCACTAATATATCTGTCGTCACGCATGGATTGTGGCAAACAGAAAGGGGGTCACGCTAGGTCTTTCTATATTCAACATTAAGTCATTGATGTGTTTTCTTTCATTTCTATTACGAAGCAACAATGCTTTGTGTAATTTCATATATTGATTGCAATGATAACCCATGTAGGCGGGAACATCAAATCAGCAGGAGACAATGAGTCTGAGAGAGTTCAAAATTTTTTACGTTCTTGAGATACGAGTAAAAGGCAACTGCTGGGAATTTCTTGTTATGTCAATAGAGTATGTTTAATGCTACATATAGTTAAATAGTTCAACTGCCGATCAAAGCGAGAAGGTAAACTTGTTAATCGGGTGGGGTGATTGCAAAATTTACGAAAGGTTGTAAAGTCTAGAAGACTGCATTAGGCAAAAACAGATTGCTTCAAACCATAGTTGATCAATGCCAATAAATTTCATACTAGGGTTTTATATCCTGTTTTTTTCAACAAGGTTGTGCCTAAACTTCGGCTTTACTTGCGTCTCAGACAATGCAATTGCAGTTAGTAAAAGCCCATAAATCCGATAATATGGACGAACGCATCGAGTCATTGCAGATAGGAGGAGCAGTTATGCAGTTATGTTTGTTCAGAGCAAGTAAACGGCAATATTAATGTCTCTCGGTCTATAGGAGTGAACCGTGCTTGCCACATGGTGTTAAGTATTTTTAGAAATCGCATTCTTTTTATTAAGGAGTGCTCCTGTTGTGTTTGGATCTTCAACAACAGCAACTCGTTTATAACCGTTTGAACCGAACCTTAGTCTATCTATTATTATCTATTTTAAGATATATAGACATTTTCGTTTTTCACATTATACCTTTCAGAATGATTGTACTGGAACGGCTTTTGCTGCGCTGGACATGTATCTTTTTCTCTTCCCTATAATCTTGAACAGGTTGAACTATTGGATATGCTTATTGTTCAAACTGTTTATAAAAGCCGTTAATCGGCTATATAGAAGAATAAGAATATGAGAAGAATGTGCACAAAGTTGCTTGTAATAAATAGAAAAATAGACAAAAAGTGGCAACGCATTCGTCATAAGGTCTGTCAAAAAGGCAAAACAGTAGCGGATTAAACTGTAAAAAATGCAAAGCCGTCGGCATATACAAACTACAGTCAGACTCATCGGGGCAGTCTAGCGAACCACTGCAAAAATACTCAGCTGGTAAGCAGGTGCCGTCAGCACAACCCCAATAGTCCAACTTTGCGCAAGTAGCCTTATCCAATAGCGGCTTAGGTATAGGAGTTTCTAATTTAATAATAAACTGTAATAAAACATTGTACAAGTGTGTTTGACAAATTTAAAAATTACCAAAAAAATAGCTATACTTATTAATAAAAAAGTAAAATTTTAAAAATTAAAATAAAATTGTATAAATATTGTTTATGTAGTGTAAGAAAATGTCCAACAGAACAAAGCATTAATAATTTTTACCGTTTTAAATAAAGTTAACATTTAGAAATTAGGTATATAAGAGACGAACTTTAAAAAATATAAGAAAATTGTAAGAAATTAACAGTAAGTACATTTTATTGATGTTTTTATTATGTATACGGTAAAAGGAACACTAGGCAGTGTTTCAGAATTTTACTTTGAAAAAATAATTTGTTTCTCCTATAAGGAGGAAGTATGCTTATTTGCTGTTTGATCTAATTAAACGTCATAATAAGGTAAACCATTTCTTTTGTTTTTTTTTGGAAATTTCGTCCTTTCTAATGCATGTACGATGCAATGTGATATAAGTACATTCTTCATAAATGTCAGCGCTCTATGGAATTCGGAAAAATGGCGTTATTACGCTGTCAACATGTTTATGTATACGATAAAAACACTACGCGGTGTTTCAGAATTTTAATAATTTTTTCTCGCGTAAGGAGGAAATGTGCTTATTTGCTGTTTGATGATGCGTGTTGATACATATTGGCGGCTTATAGCATACTTATTTTGCCATGATCTTTGCAACACCCAAAAGAAAACTTTAGAGAACCTGTAAAGTGAATATATTTTTGATTAGCGTTCAATTTTAGTTATGCCCGTCTGTCCGCCGGCGTGGTCCCAGACATTAAAATATCAACTTCGAAATTATTAAAAACATAGAAAGTTTTTGCATGCCGGTTGGTATTGAAAATGGGCGAAATTGGTTCGCTCACAGTGAAGAGCAAGCTGAAAGCATGTCTGTTTCTCTAAGTCAAAATTTTCGAGATTTTGCTCGTTACTCACAAATTATGAAAGACAGAATAAAGATAAGGTTTTCTAAATTTATTTTATGGAGTATCCTACTGTGCGGGTTCAAAAATGGAAGAAATCGGCCGCGCCCATGCAAAGCTAGAAATGATCAAATATTAAATTTTTTCACTTCTTGACTTTTTCCACTTATTCGGCGTAAGGTAAATAGAGCAGAATGATGGCGATTACTTTGAAAATTCTATACATAAAGATGCATTGTCTTTAATTCGAAAAAATTGGTGTGATCTTCAATCCAGTCCATATTCAAATTATTAAAATCTTACGTATGTAACTACATTTGTTGTTTTCCAAACCCGTTGTGAGACGTCTGTACACATCGACTGAATTCGATTTTATGTTTTTAATTTTATTTTTCAACCACAATATCATTTAGACATGTGCTTTCCTGACCTATCATAATTTTAAAAGCCGACAGTTCTTTTCAACAAATATTTCAATATTGTCTGTTAAATGCACATTGTTCGCACCTGCTATATAAAATCAGAGTTATTTCGAAGGCTGCGAATTCAAGAATATTTACGTATAGCCATCGGCGAAAAACCAAAGTTGGCTCCGTATCGGCTTCCTGGCACGGTTTTCCACACCACCCATGAGGTACCGTGATAGGCGCGTTGCCAATTGTTTTAAATGGCTGGCTCCCCTTTAAGCCTACACCATTATATACTTACTTTAAAATTATAATAATAACATTAATTATCACGTTATTTGAATTAAATATATCATGCATTATATTTACAATTTTATATACTTATTATCACATTATTTGAACTAAATATATCATGCGTTATATTTACAATGTTAGCGGTGAAGCCCCGCTCTGAGATAAATAAATAACTATAATAACAGTATGAAATATATTCCTATTATCTATTGTTTGTGAAAGTCGAGATGTTGTGGACTGCTCTCTCCCTCCAATTCGTTCCGCTCAAGGCTAGTTGAATGATGTAAGACAGTAAACCCCTTCTATGTTTGTCCCCATTTGGGCAGGATCCTTTCTCTTTAAAGAAGGGGATTCGGTCGGCAATGGTCGCCGTAGCACGTGCCCGCATATTTTGATCCGGCATATATTTGTTGTATACCAAGTATAAGAGATGGTATACTTCTTTAAATAGTGTGTTAACATTTTCCTTGATAAATTCTGGCTTTAAATAGCCGCTTGCCAGGATGTCGCTGTCATTTACGTTTTTAGCCACATAATGGCGGCCCACTCTCAAGCATGCTTGTCTTTTTTTCAGTGCCAAATCCTGCATGCATGCCTGGCACCGTACATTATCCCTTATGTACTGATCTACTCCATATTCTGTCAGTAGCCGGAAATATTTGTGGTGTTCAGGTGTCCTTTCTTCGATGTCGATGTCCTCATACGCCACGCCATCCAGGCCGAACGGTCGAAATTCGTCGTCGGCCTGTTCTTCAAGTCGATAGTTAAAGTTTTGGATGACGTAGTAGTCGTCGTCGGTTGTCGATGTCATCCAAAACTCCTTCTCGTATTTCATAAACCGTTTTATAATTTGGATCATATCCCGTAGTGTTCGCAATCGTGTTCTACTTGTTGGCGCCATATTACATATAATCCGCTCCAATAAATCTTGGCTTACCCTGTACCCTGAAATTGAAATATCAGGGTAAGTCTGCAGCTGTTCCTCCACTATTTTGATGAAATTGGTTGCAGTCATTTGGATTGCATTCGATGTCTCCGACTTCTTTTGCTCCATCTTCATATAATTCAATACGTATTTTAAATTTTTTTTATTTTGCTCCCAAGTATCCTTATTCAGAGTGTTTCGATGTAAAACGTTTGTAAATGTGGTCATCGCATGAATATATTTATATGTCCTCATTACCTTGGAGCCGCCTGTGGTTTTTGAATCAATTGCCGATCTTAAAGTCGATGGAGTGATGTGATCGTAGAATGCGATGATATCGTCGGGGTGCCGGCGGAAGGGTGCGACGATTGTCGGAAAAACTCCTTTATTTAGCCAGAAGTTGCATTTGGCCAAGTTTTTATCTTTTAAATAATTACTTGCGTTTTACCCATTACGTGACACGTAGTCGAATTATCCATACGCCCTGGACTGCCTTCCAAATTTTTCTCTTCATTCTTCAATCTTCAATTTACAAGAAGATATGCCTACTGAGCAATACCAAACAATACTACTCCTATGGCCTCCTCAATAGCAAACAGAAAAAAGATGTCAGTAATTCGCTATGACTTTCCTACGTAAACGTTGTGGAGATTTTTCGAAGAAAATAGACCTACGTACGCATCAGTTATAATGTTCCTCCTGAAGGCATTAAAAAAAAGCCGTCGGCATTGAAAGAAAAAAAACAGTTTAAGGGAAATAATAAATTTGAAATTTGTAATTTCAACAAAAATTATTATTATTTATTTAATGACCGTTATTCCAAAGCTTTTGAACGTATTGATAATTTGTGTAAGAATGTGGCACAAAAAATGTAGCTTTAATGGGACAATTGTTAGGATTCCGCCTATTACCCTTAAAAAGAGTTTGTGAAAAGAACTCCCAATTTTCAAAGTTCACGGGACCATCAAATGTTAACAGAATCATTTGGGGCACTGATCGAACATCCAAAAATCCTGGTATGTGAGTACCATCTTTAGAGCAAAAACAATCCGGTAGACGACAATAACGGAGATCACACGTTGCGTTGCTAACAAGTCTAAGAATAGGAACAAGTTATCAAGATAGAAGTTTTGTTCAGTTTTGTGTATGCGTTATAAATAATCTCCAAAAAAACATTTCTATCTTTATAGTTAAAGATAACGAGTAGAATGCTTTCTATAAACTGCTATTCTTATTAACGTATCTTCGGCTAGCTACGTTCTTTTATTTTGATTTGCTGCAATAAAGGGGGGTTAACTTCGTTTCCATTTTTTACATTCATTTGTAGACCGCGATGACTGTAAATCGATAACATCTACAAAATTTCTATCGTGTAATCTCTAGTTTGTGAGAAAATGGCCGAAAATTCATTTTATACGCGCGTTCGTTCCTTAAATTTTGCGCGAATATTGTTAATTATAGCTCTTCAATGTCAATTTGAAAAAGGTAAGTCCATCTTACCTAATGGGATATAGAAAATTTTTTGCAAGTTTTCGCAGAATTTCGTACAATTCGTGAGAATTACCTACAGACATTTTAAGGCTTCCCTTGTGTTTTTCTATTTGTTTTTTTTTATTTTCAAAAGAAGTGTCAAAATGTATGATTGTCTCTTTCTTACAACTAAGAACTGAACAGGTGTTTTTTTTTTTTTATTGCTTATGTTTAGAGGTTTCTGGTGTTGCATTGTTTAAACGGGATATTGTGCAGGAACGTTTTCTTCATTTAATTTCTTTCAAGTAATTTGTGAATTGTGAATACTTACTGCAAATAATAGCCTGGATATAGCAATTTGCACGTTGATTACCAGTTTTCTCCTTTTATTCATAAATTAATCTTTTGTGATGTTTATTGTGTTTACAGATAGAGAATAAATCATCTGGAATGCACATATGTAAATAAACGATATTTTATTTACGGTGCAGATGATACGAAAACTCGACACGGTGTTATCATACCACTTGTATAAAAATTATCTATCGGACAGGATCAGTTTTTCAATAGATGGCGCCTTACCAAAATTTTAATTGCCGGAAGGTTTAGCTGTATTAAATAAAAAATCCATACAATTCGAAATATTTTCAATATTTATCGTAAAAGTACAACAAAACATCTAAAAATTATTTACGTTGACTTCTTTTAGGCGAATATGTAAGTTTTTGTTGGAAATATCCGATATATGACTATGAAAAACGAAATTATGTGTTTATTGTTGTTGCGTATATCGCGAACTGTCACAAATAGCAAGGACCTATTTGTTGTTGCTTTGCCATGTGTGAAACGTTTGTAAAAAAGTTTGTTTACAAAAACCCATGCAATCAAATCGCCGTCAAACTTAGACAAGAAATCTCGAAGGGTCTCTTGAATGAATTCAAATTTTTGGCCGATGATAGAAGACATACTTGTCAAAATGTCAATAGCGATATATCAGTTTCAGATATTTGGCGTACCGGGAGAATTTTTCGAGGAATTACTTCCTCTCATTGTTCTATACCCACGCAGCTCTTTAATGAATTTTCTGACAAACTTCTGGTCCAATAATGTCCTCCGTATCGTGTGGTAAGGAACGCGATAATTTCTTGTTAAATGCCATATCTCCCTCTGAACTTGATGGCTCAGGCTTAGCCAAGCTTGTTTTCGTAGTAATCATCGCATGATGGTCAACATCGAAAATAGAATAAACGGCGCTCAAAAGCAATTCCTTACAATGTAAAAGACTAAATCTGTCTTATCCGCTTTACAATCGGTCAACGTGGCGGATCAGTAGTATGCAAAAATTGGTCAACCGCGGAACAAAATACGTGACGAACGTATAACACGCAAAATGAATAAGACATTAATTAAATTCGCGATAAACCTGGCTTGTTTTATTATTTAGTATTAGTCTCTGATCCGATCTGAGCTTGCCTTTTCGTCTGATGTATGCCCGTGGACAAGCGGTATTAACAATGGTTCAGACCGGATCACTTTTTCTATTCCTGCCCATATAATGTCCTTTAAAAAATAATATTTCAAATTTCGCGACAAAAATCGCTTACTCATAGAAAATCGGTATTCTAAATTGGCGTAAAAACTCTGAATGGGATGCGGCAATTTTTTGAAACATTTGCCAAATAACAATTTCTACGCAAACTTAATGGTCAAAACACCTAATTTCCAATACTTCTTGGCAAAAATTCGTTCATAATAAAAGTTAACCTTACCGACTTTGGACCGAATTGGTCTATTTTTTGATTCCCAGCCCATATAAGAATTCGAAACCCATATAAGAATTTGAAAAATAAATCTAATTTTTAATACTTTATGATGAAAATATGCCCTTAATAAATCAATCATAGAGAATTTTGATCAAAAGGGCGTATTTTCTTATACATAACAGCGCTCATGAAAGCAAACTGTTCTACGGTGCGATCATCTAATTTGAGATCTGTTATGGCAGAAGCAACTGAAAAGTAATAAAATCTTTGAAAAGTAAATTTTTTCCATACATACATATATATATTTTTAAAACTATTTTATAAATAAATTTGTTCTTTCTACGCAGAACACTAGCTTGTCCATTCTGGATTTACCCAATTTTAGAAGAAGAAGTATTAAGTTTTTCAGAGTTCGGTGATTAAAACTAAATGAAGCCTAGATATAATTTGTTTGTTAAAGAAGGAAAGAAAGACCGGATGACCAGTCTTTCTGGCTTAAAAAAACTGATTTTATTAAGAAACATTAATGGACGATTTTTAGACCTTCTATACTTTTACTTCAGCTAGAGAGCTGTTGTTCGGAAATCGCAGAGAGAATTGTTACTAAAACAAGTAGCAAAGTTATATTCGGCGGAGGCCGAATCTCGCATACCAACCACTATCCTTTTCGCATTCTACTCCCCAAGTTCTCTTATTCGATATCCATATCGCTGGTATTTTATTAAGAAGAAATTAATCGCGGTGTCTATCATATTCATTTTAAAATTATCCAATTTTTTGGCAGATAATATATCTTCGTTTGAAGAACATACAAAGTATTTTTAAACGTTCTCTCTTGTTTGCCTTATTATAAATAAGCAAAAAACGTCATAAAAGTGAAAAAAATTAAATTTAATCGACTGTAACTTTTTTGGGCATGGCCGATTTTTTCCATTCCTGCATATAAATAGTGGAATTTATCATAAAATAAATGTGGAAAAGTTCAGCCTTCTAGCTTTAATAATCTTCGAGTAACGAGTACAAACCACAAATTTTTGTTAAGAAAAACGAAGTTGCGTCCAGTTTCCGCTCCGCAGCGACGGACAGACGGACAGGCATGGCTATATCAGTTCAGAATTTCGCGCTGATCAACATTATATATACTTTATACGGTGTTTGAAGTTGGCTTTTGGGTGTTGTATACATTAAGGAAAAGAGCAAAATGAGTATATCCCTATCTTACAGTGGTGGGTATAAAAAGTAAGTCAACATCTTATTAGGATGAAGGAAGTTGACTTGGTTGAAAGTGGCTAGTGTCATTAAATCATAGTGCACAAGCAAGCTTTAAAGACCCCATTAAGTATGTAAGTTCCCGCCCAGTTTCAAATTTGGAATGCACCTACACATATGCGCCTGCTCATTTGTTCATCTGTCTGTTTGCGTAACTTTGTAATATTTGTGGTAAACATTGGCCCGTTAGCGATTGCCTAAAAATTTACGAAAGAAATTGGAATTGATCTAAACTCTTCAAAGGACGTGCCTATAACGTCCGCATGTCTGTAAGACAAAAACTTCTATTTTGTAAATAGAAGAAATCAACGGCGCGAAAGGTGCTGAAGTGCACAGATACGAAAAAAACTTAGGGAACAGTTAGGCATAACCGATTATATAAAATGGGAAATATACAGAAGGTATCAAAATAGGTTTCTCACCGAAATGAGTAAAAAATCGAAAAAGGTAACGTCTGCTTAAACTTGTTAAGGCGCTACGAAAGGTGTAGATATCTTTATAAAATTATGAACATGAACGATGAAAAATTGGTCTTATTCGACAATCCTAAACAAAGAATCTGTGGGTTGGGCCCAAGGCAAACATACGCACCCCATGCAAAGCCAAATATTCATGCCAACGAAGTGCTACTACATGTCTGGTGTGATTGGAAAAGAATCATCTACCACAAGCTTCTAAACCGTTGTGAAACTGTTGTATTTGAACGACATCAAGACCAACTAATCAGTTTAAATGAAGTGATAGAGGGAAAAAGACAACAAAGGCGGAAGGGAAATCAAGAATTCATTTTGCCTCATGGTAATGGCTGACCACACACGGCGAAAGTGACCAAAGCAGTTTTAGCTTAGGCTTGGAAGTTTGACCGCACCCCCATATTCTACAGCCTTTGTCCCTTCCGATGGCCATTTATTCAAATCGATGCAGTCACACCTGGCACCTTAACGTTTCGCAGGAGTTGGCGACGTCCGAAAGTGTCTCGATTACTATTTCGCTATTTTGCCGCCAGAACATTCATAAGCCGATCCGATAAACGGTAATGACCATAGATAATGATTTCTATTATTAAAGTCTGTGACAAGGATATCTTGGACAAAGCTGAATGTTATCAAAAATTTATTTACCCACCTAATATGTTTATTTAAATTACTCTTGGCTTCAATTTAATAAAAATATTTTGCTTTGTTCTTAGAATTATACCATATTCCAAACTTAAATCCTTCGTGTGGGTAACGGGTAGAACGCGATAATTTCTTAATATGGCAACTAAAGCAGCTTTAATTTCTAACATTGCAAATTTTTGACCTGCGAACATTAAGGAAGACAAAAAATGTGAAAAGTTATTCTTTAAGCATCTCGAGTTAAGATACGAACCAATGCAATTTCTCGAACCAGCGCTGAAAGGCACAAAAGCAAATGGATGCATGTTGCGTGTATTCTCTGCCAAAAAACGATCAGGTTTAAACACGGAGGGTTCAGGAAAATGTTTTGGATCTCTCATAATGTCAATGATATGAATATTAACTTGCGCGTTTCTCGGTAAAATTAAACCGTTCAAAACTGTTTCCTTGATACACTGCCTTCCTATAAACGGCACAGGTGGATACATTCGCAAAGTTTCCTTTATCACACATCCCAAATATTCTAGCTTGTTAAAGTCGAACACGGTCAAATTCTCAAAAGCGGCTAAATAAGAAAGAAGCGATTGAAAACGCATGTATGTTTTTATGATAATTTTCGAGTCTTACTAAGATTTTCGATTTCCTGATAGCATCTCTTTTGTATATCTGGATACTGAGCTAGGTTCAATAAAGCAAATTTGAGACACGTTGAAGTGGTGTCATAGCCTTCGAACATGAACGTATCCACTTCCTCACAGATACCTTGGTGATCTATAAGTCCTTGGGCTTCATGAATTAGTAGTGTGTCCAGCAACGCGTAACGCGTTTTCGCATAAGAATTTCTAAAAAAAAGCCAAGAGTTGATTTCTCGCTTGAGCAGAGAAAACTTGACGATATTCTGCAATACGAAATTTGTAACGGAAAAATAACCATCGGAATTCACATTCATACGAAACCCTCGCTAAAAAGTTCTCGTGCCTATCATGGCTGACTGTGTGCTTCAAACAATACATAGAATGTGTCGGTTGTGTGCGACTTCCAGACCAATCCTGTCAAAAGTACGTAACAAGAGAATAAAGCCAACCATAGTCTGTTGAAAGAAAAACAAGCAGATCCAGGCGGAATTTGCTACTGAGTTGGGTATCACAATGTGTCAACAATAAAACAGGGTTTAAGAAAACCCTTTTATGAATTGTCGTTGCTTGTAATTGATCGAAACGAAAATTTCAATTGAACACTTGATAAATCCTAATAGAGCAATTACTGCTCTTGGAAAAAACTAATAAAAAGATAATTTCAGAGAAATTCCATCTGCGTACTTACTCTTTATCGATGTTGCATCTGTTGCCGTTCTGGAGGAATTCTCTTCGCTTCTTGTTTATAATTTTGTCACTGAAATTGTGAGTGATTTCTACATAATGCTTACTCTTTTTATATTGCCCGAAGAGATAAAATATAGTTTCGTAATACATCAGCGGATTACAGGCTCTTTCCACTATTATTGCTTCAACGTTATGAATAGCAGCACGATATTCAATATCGCCGGCAATGCCGGTTAATTTAACGCCTAAGGCCGTCTCTGAAGGAAAAAAAGTGTTGAAATGATTATATACTTTCTCATAACTTTTATCACAGATTGCGCACCGCACACGTTATTTAAGGAGAATTCGTTTATAAAATCGTTAACATTGATTCTGTCGTGCTGGAGATAATTCAATTTTTCCAGAAGTTTTAGACTTTCTTCTCTGAAAAACAAAAATGAATTCTCATCACGTGGAACATAAGAAGTATTTATCTTTACTTGAAAATTTCATTAAATGTTTGCAAGATATTGAAATGAAAGGCTGGCGTTAAAATTCTACGTCGTAAATGCCATTTTTCTTCTGAAAATTTATAAAATATATATTAATTATGTATGTTATGTAAGACTCTACAGACAACTAACCGTGACTCATTAACAGACCATTGCCAAGGAAAGGCTGGAGAAAGTCATACATAATTCCTTTAGTTGTGAGGGTTTGACTTTGAAATAATTCCTCGATATCTTCGGCATTAATTATGTTATAAATGGAAGTGCTCAAGAAATGAAGAACATAACTACGTCCCCTTGAAAATTTGGCCCAACCACGGGTGAGTTCAAATAGTTTTCCTATTTAATTATAAAACACTGCCATTAAGAAATGATATTCGTTGGAAGAGAATTACGCTAACAAAGTCACACCTGGTGTCACGTTCAGCACATCGAAATTATTCCCGAAAATTGTTTTACCCGGTATAATGCAAACCTTTTCTTCCAAAGGTTTTCCATCCACACATTTTATACGTTTACACAAAGCTAAGATAAAATAATGTTCATTCACTTTACGTAAAAGTATTATTGAAACGATTAGAAGAACAACGAAAAATAGTAACATTTTCTCCTGTTTTTGGCCTTACTCCAACTCCAAGTGTATTCAATGAAATTTTGTAAATAAGACTGAATTAAAAAATTGTACTGCTGTTGCTTAAATATTAAATAAGGTTTTGCGCGAACTTGATGACCGTTGAACCTTTGTTTTAAAAGATACTGTAATTTTAAAATTAATTATTTTCGCGATCTCTGAGCGTTATAAATAAAATGCTCACAATTGCATCATTCTTAATATTGTTCATTTCTTTTTGACTTTTGATAAGAATCACATTTTGATTATGTTACGGGAGTATTATGCTTAATAATGCTGGCCGCATCTAAGAGTAGACATATTTCGTTTCCTTGTTTATGTAAAGTAAAGGAATACTCTGCGGAGAAGGCTGCGCTCATATCAGAACTGTTTCAATGTAAGGCCTTAAGGCAACAAATTTTGTGTAAGCTCATCAAATTCCATATCTTACTTCATTTTTTTACCCTTCACCGAAGGATGAGCGAATATTCATTTTGGCAAAACGTTTGCTATGCTCAGAAGGAAGCTTAAGAGACCCTACAAAATCGATATCTTCTTAATCAGCATGAAATTTTAAACACATTTAAGCATGTCCGTCTGTCTATAAACATTCTCCTGGTCGGAAAAATTCAGCGATCGGCTTCAAAAGAATGGAAGTCGTTGAGCGCTGGTTGGTATTGAAATTGAGGCAAATCTGTCGACCGCTGTGCAACAAAACGTGGGGCTACCTCTTTTTTTTAAGAATGGAAAATATTGACTTTTCTTTTTCTATGCGTGACATTGAAGCACCTGCACAAATATGCCACATCTACTCAATATTACACAATATTAAAATTTTATCCAACACCCAAAAAGAATTTTTCAATATGTATATATTGTTGGTTAGTGTGAAATCTGAATTGTTCTAGACATGTTTGTCAGTCCGTCTGTCCACCCCTTTGTCAATTGCTTTAGTAAACATACTCGCAAATATGGAGATATCTGCTTCAAATTTGGCAGAAACATTGGAAATTTTTGCATGTTGGTTAATATTGAAAGTGGGCCAAATCGGTAGAAAGACACGCCCACAGTACAATAAAAATTGAAAACATTTTGACTTTTTCGGTTTTTTGCCCATTAATTATAAACTACAATAAATACACGGTACAATTTCCACTTTCATATAATTATATAATAAAAATTTAGTTTCTGCTCCTATTTTTGGTCTTTCTCTACGGTAACGATGGTAAGTATAGAAGGTTCGGTTACAGTCGAATATGATTTTCTTGCCTCCTTACGTTAGTTAGTTGTAGCATATAGCTGAGCTCCTTGCAACCTGTCGCAAAATCACTGTAAATTTTAAATATGCCTTTCCAACGATTGCAATATAAGTAGTAGGACTTCTCTAAATTTAGTTCGTATTATAATCAAGACTTTGAATGCGGAAAATAGTAATACACGGTACACGAACTCTTCTCTCCTAGGAATTTATTATCAATACTTGTTTAATCGTATGAAAGCAACTAAGGCAAAACAAAACGATCGAAAATAACAATAGATTTCTCTTACGTTTTTACTTACGTCATTGCGAAATAGTATAAACAAATAATATTTTTTTGAAATAACACTGTTTAACACTGTTCTCATGCCCTTATGTACATATGTGGGCGTTTAGTTTCTTATATTTAAATAATAAAAAAAAAATTATAAAAAGTATGAAAAAACACAGTTTTTATTATAAAGACGTTTGGTCGTTGTAGGCGTGTTCTTTGAAAAATTTTCATCACTTTCAAATTCTTTCGAATTTCATTTTCGCGTGTAGTAGAATGGGGACCAAAAATCCTACAAAGTTGCTCAGACGGACAGATGGACAGATAAATGGACGGGTATGCTTAGGGGCATTCCGAGTTTGAAACTGGCCAAAAATTTATATAATTTATGGGGTTTTTGAACCTTGCTTGCGTGCGTTATAAATGTTTTGAAAAAAAATGAAATTATGACACACTATAAAATTGAGTAGGGATAGACGATTTTTCCCATTTCTGCCGACATATTACAGCATCGATCATGGAATATGCGGCGAAATTTTTGTAGATTTATCCGCTTTAGTTTATAAGTAATGAGCCAAAAACCAACTTTTTATTCCCTTTGAAAAAGAGAGGTATGCTCTATTTGCTGTAGCAGTGCTGTAATGGCGTCCTGCGCCATTACCATGAACCATTTTCAATACCAACCTGCGCGCAAGAACTTTCAATGTTTCTGCCAAATTTGAAGTTGTTAGCTTCATTTTTGGCGGCCAGGAGAATATTCACAAAATACGGTCGGACAATTAAAGGTTCGTTTTAATAATTCTTTATTACGAATGCTTTTACAAAACACTTACTATTTTACTATCTTACTATTATTCTGACCTAACTGATGTATGGTCAGTATCTTACATAAGTATATAATAACTTAAGGTAAAATAACTTAATCCTAATTTAAGCAATTAATATAACTAAAGTAGGTTATCGCTTAGAATAATAACGTAAGCATATAATATAAAATTGGTTATTACTGGAATTACAGCTTAAGCAAATAATATTATATTAATAGATTATTACTGGAATTGCACTATCTTAACTAGGTTAGGTGTAAAATGTAAACTTAGCAATAACTTGTAAATTACGGTAGAGTGCGACAGATCGATAATACTACATTATATTAAAGTGAATATGGATATATTGAACAAATTTAATTTTAATAATTTCCAGACATTTTTAGGAAAGAATCGCAGTTATCATGTATTTTATAAACGATTTACACACGTACATATATTTTTGCGTTTATCGCTTTTCGTTTTGCAAGTTCAACCTCGTATAAAACAACTTCAAAGATGTCTTTCTAATATAATTGCGTATGTGACCACGATGCAGTTCTAATATCATTCCATTAAAAAGATTCCTCTTTTTATTATCCTATAAACACTTGTAGCTTTGCGTCCTGCTATACGTTGTACACATGTAGTCATTGAACAATCCCTTTGACTGATAACTCTTAATCTCACCTGTACATTTACGCCCTATATTGTATATCATCATGAACCACCATTATTTGTTTTATCAGCTATACATTGTGCTATATGTAAATAAAATTCTCTATTGCTTAGTTACGAGCTTGTGTTCGCCACAATGTTTATTTCCTTTCTGGCATTTTCTTTACATTGCGTTGCACATTGCACATTGTACATTGCGTTCAATTATTTTTCGCCTGCTAAGATAATTAACTATTTGTCAGCTTTGACTTGTTGATATTCCCGATATATTGTCGTCTATTGGCTTTTGTCAGGATTCACTAACATCGCGGCAGATGCGTCTACGATGATATTATGTAGTCCAGAGGGTATTACATTGCTTGCTGGCAATCTTCATATTCATATTCATCATGACCACTGCTCTATTTCAATAGAATATGTAAAATCATAATAACGGACTACTGTTTTCTGTTCATAACTCTCTCTCTCTCTCTTTCTTTCTTTCTTTCTCTCTCTTTCTCTCTTTCTCTACATTATTATGCGAGGGAGAAATATGGAAAGAAACAAAAGTCCAAAGTCCATCGGTGTGACATGAGAATGCTTTTTCTCCTATATTTGCCCAACTTGTTTTTTTAAGAGAAGGAAAAAAAGGAGAGCTGGTGTTAAGAGACCAGAAAAAGCAGAAGTTTTGCTTTAAGTGCGCGTCAGAAAAAATACTGAAGGTTTAATGTAAAATATTGGAATTTCATTTGGTACATGAGGAAAGGCTTTGTTGTTTTTTTTATATCAATTCCTGAAACATCTATCAATTAAAATTTTAAAAACAACGCATGATTCAGAGCCTAAGTGTAACGGGGGTGTCTTCTAATGAATTTCAACCGAGACAATTGTCAAAACTCGTGAAGTAATAGAAAAAAGAAACAAGAAGCAAAGCAGCGTGAAAATTAAACAATATGCAAAAGGAAAAACATTAAATAAAATGTTTATAATATCTGTCTATACAACATTTTTTGGGTTCCAGAAGTGTTTAAAAGCGCAATCTTTTATGAGGGCCGAAGAATATGAAATGAATTTCGACAAAGATTTTACGCAATAAATGGCATGAAATCAAGAAAAGTGCCTGAACAATAAAACTAATAAACGCTATTAACCATGCACATAGAACATATATGAATTCAATATAATTTATGTTTAGTTTTAACAGCGTGTCCGAACGCGACATGTAAATAAAAAAGCATGTAAAATCGAATTGCTTCCGAAAAGGATAAAAAGGAAAGACAAAAGTAGATCGTTTTCTACTTTTTTTGCCATAATACTGGCCTCATTGTCTGCCATCAATATACCGTTTTGTGTCGCTATTTATAGTCAGTTTGCACCATTACTTATCGATCATACCGTTGACAATGGCACATCTTCGATAATCTTCTTTTTACTAATATTTGGGGGATCATCATTAAGCTGAGAGACCTAAGGAGCGTATTGATCATCGTTTTGATTGTTTTCTTTTGCGGAATGGTATTCGATGAGTTACGATACGGAAAGTATTGATTGTACTTTCACAACTGAGTCATCGAGTAACTGTACTGTAGATGGGGTGTTTGGGTTTGTATTAGATTTTCTTACACGTTGGTATTTATGTAGCTTTTAGGTTAATTTCTATTATTTGTTTGTTTGTTTGCATGTATGCTTAAGCAAATATAAGCATCGCTGAGACTAGTTTTATGTGTCAAAAAAAAAAAAGTTGAAAGATAAATTGTGTATGAATAGAAATTAAATTTTTTTCTTTATTGATCAATTACAAAAAAAAAAAACGGCAAAGTAAGCATTCTGTAAGTACCGCTGAGACGTGGTATGCGTGGCTTTACGTGTACCGGACAAAGAGTGAACTGACGGACAGCGAACAGTACAGACGCCAAGTTTTATAGACGGACTTACAGCGTTTTTCAGGTTAGGTCCTGTGAACAGGAATACTTTTTAAAGAAAAATACGTCATACATACGATTGAGCACAGCTTATGGAAATTCGCGTAACCTCCTTGCTCCTTCTGTACGCGCTGTTTTT